AAATTATTGATGCTAATTTTTTTGGTAGTGTTTGATTTAATACTGTTAATATTTTATCACCATCAAGTCTAACAATAGCATTAGCAAGTGTAATACTTTTTAACTTTGTACAACTATCAAGCACTTCCATTAATGCATGATCTAATTCATCTTTATAAATTATTGATAAATTTTCTAAATTTATACAAGATTGTGCAATTGATTGAAATAACTTCCTTGCAAATTTGCTATCTGCAGTGTTAATATATATACTATTATCAACAACTAGATTTTTAAGAGTTTTTCCATTGATATTGATAAAATCAGACAAGTCTGATAGGGATAGTTGATATAAACTATATATCCTCATAGATTCAATATTTGGCAGTGAAATATTTTTCAAATTTTTTAATTGATAATCAGTAGATGATAATGATAAAGTTTTTAAATTTTTAAATGTTGAAATTAATAAATTGTTCAAATAATTTCCTTCACCATAAGATTCATAAAAAGTTATTGATTGTGAATGTGTTGATATTGCTTCTTTTAATTCATCTAGTAAAATTTGTTCATTTTCTGTATCAATAACTAAAGATTTAATTTGCTTTTGTGCTTTAATTAGCTGTGCCAATTTATATATATATTTATCATTACCATCATAATATATTGTTAATGATTGAATATTTTTACAAACATTTATTAATTTACCAATAAGTTCACTATCAACAGAACTAAAACATTCCAATTCATAAAGATTTTGAAATATATTATCAAATCTATGATGATTAATTAACAAATTCCAATCTATATAATTAATAGCAGTAAATACTCTAATACCTGCTGAATGATCTAGAATAAATTCTACTAATTTATTTTGTAAACTTTGTACAATATCAATTTTTATCAGTGTTTGAAAACTGTTAGAATCAAAAAGTCTAGTACCAAATCTTGCATAATTATATAATGGTGGTTTCTCCAATAGTTCAAAAGTTAATTCAATATGATTTCTAGTTAAGAAATCCTTATCTTCTTCCAGTAAACAATTAATTAATACTCTGGTACTGTCATCAGAAACAAATGGATTTCTCCATAGTGTTGAAATATTGATATTGTGCCATTGTTTGTTGACAAGAATACAAGAATATAATGTTTTATAGTCATCTTCAATGTATTTGAATATTTCAGTTAGAAGTTCAAGTGGAAAATTAAACATTTTTTTTTAGGTATATAAAAAAATAATTATTGTTTGTTGTACAACATTTATTTATTATCTCCAACCAAAATTTAGACAAATGATTGAATTTATTGCGCTGACCACCCGAAGATCGTTTTAATAATTGGAAACTTACGCCTTCATGTAATCCAAAATTTTATTAACTAAACCGAGGCTGGTGCATTAAGTAAACGTGTTTTTAAAGTTATTTTGTGTATAAACTTAAAAGTTTCGTTGAGTTTGAGAATTTTAAATTAGACAAAAAATCCCGTAATTTTTACGAAAACTTTGAGCTTAGTAAAAAACTTCAAAACTCCGTTGAATCATGGATTACATCATTAAGTAAGTCCACTTAAAATATTTTGAATTATATATGGTTAAATTTTGGGAAATTTGGTCAAGTATAGACAAGAAAACATAAAGTCTTAAAATTGCATTTTGTCAACTTTATTAAGTGTTTTATATAAAATTACGTGGTGGTCGGATACTTTTTTAAACCCTTTTCACGAACTAATTTATGCCAACACTGTATTGTTTACATATGTAATCCATTACGTTGAGCACATTTTATTAATGTAATAATATACATTACAATGAAGAAATTTGACCTTTTATTACGTGTAAAGATTTTGATTGGAAATTTGCTTTTTTGGACTATTTGCTAAATGTTTCCATTAATACCATACCAAACCTTTTGAACTTTTTGTAATTTAGAGATTTTGATATAAAGTACAGTCTAACTTAGTAAAGTAAAAAGGTTTTATTCAAGAAAACGTTACTTTTTTTAGTAAGGACTCTTTTCGTTTGACATTACACAACTTTGATGGTCGGGTATTTATTATTATGGTAGGTATAATTAAAAATTTTGGGGTGGAGTGTTTGGCGGTAGGGAAAGATTATGGTATAACTCTTGCAGAATGTATGGTATGGTATGGTATAGCCCATATTTTCCATACCAAGTCACACAAATTTTATTCTAAATCCTTTTTTGGCAGGTGTAAAGGGAAGTATGTTAGATTTAAGCATTGGTATACAACCATTTTATTACGCTTATACAATACCATACCATACTGAACTCGGTGTTTGGATATGAAATTTTGATTGGCTAATTTGAATTCCACCAGCAGCAATTTATCAAAATGATGTTCAACTAGCTAATAACTTTATATATGAGGAATTAATCAAATAATTGCATATATTTACTATTTAATCATTTCATTAATATTATTATATAGATGATTAATTTAATTATTAAAAAGATTATATTATTTTTGTGTGGAAGATGCAGTAATTGTTGAGATAATTATTTATTATGAAAAATATTACATTCAAGATCTTTTCATAAGAAATATTAAGTAGTAACATGTCATGTGTAATTTACATTTTACAGAAACTACATTTTGCCATTAATGCCAAATTAATGCTAACCACAAATAATGTTAAACTGTTCTTTGACCATATAAATATAATAATAAATAATAATAACCTATTAATAAAAATTTTAATAATTTAAAAATCCTAAATCTTGATATTTTTTTAATATTTCCCTTAATACACTACCTGCATCACCATAATCCCAAAATTTCATTGTTAAAGGTTTAGGTCCTCTCCAATTCTTCATTAAAATATCTAATAAATACTCATTAAGATTATAAGTCACACAAGTACAAATTATTGATCCTAATTTTTTTGGTAGTGTTTGATTTAATACTGTCAATATTTTATCACCATCAAATCCATAAAATACAGCTTCATTCATATAAGAATATTCCAAAGCATCACCAAGTGTGATACTTTTTAAATTTGTACAGCTATTGAGCACTTCCATTAATTCCTGGTCTAATTCATCTTTATAAATTATTGATAAATTTTCTAAATTTTTACAAGATTGTGCAATTGATTGAAATAACTTCCTCACAAATTTGCTATCCGCAGCATCAATACATATATTATTAGCAATATCCAGATTTTTAAGAGTTTTTCCATTGATATTAATAAAATTAGACAAGTCTGCTAGGGATGGTTGATATGCATCATATATTCTCATAGATTCAATATTTGGCAGTGAAATATTTTTCAAATTATTTAATTGAACAATTGTTAATGATAAAGTTTTTAAATTTTTAAATGTTGAAATTAATAAATTGTCCAAATTACTTCCTTCACCATGAGATTCATAAAAAGTTATTGATTGTGAATGTGTTGATATTGCTTCTTTTAATTCATCTGGTAAAATTTGTTCATTTTCTGTACCAATAACTAAAGATTTAATTTGCTTTTGTGCTTTAATTAGCTGTGCCAATTTATATATATTTTTATCATTACTATTGTAATATATTTTTAATAAAAATGATTGAATATTTTTACAAACTTTCATTAATTTATCAAAAAATTCACAGCTATCAGAACTAAAACATTTCAATTCATAAAGATTCTGAAAGATATTATCAAATCTATAATGATTAATTAACAAATTCCAATCTATATAATTAATAGTATTAAATACTCTAATACCTGCTGAATGATCTAAAATAAATTCTACTAATTTAATTTGTAAAATTTGTGATGCACCAATTTTTATCAGGCATTGAAAATCATAATAATTGTAAAGTATAGTACTAAATCTGGCATAATTATATAATGGTGGTTTCTCCAATAGTTCAAAAGTTAATTCAATGTGATTTCTAGTTAAGAAATCCTTATCTTCTTCCAGTAAACAATTAAT